AGATAGATAGATAACTTTATTTAATCTCGAAATGTATAATGAGCCAGAGACTCATGCTAAATACATTCGAGGAGCTTTATAAAATCTAATTAAAAATATATAAACTATAAATCACAATGCTGCGATGCTACATGATTGAAAAGCTAGATATATATACCACATAGACAGAAAGTGGATTCAAAAAATAATTATTTACAGCTCCTCCCCCCCCCCATCTTCTTCATATCATCATTGGGGAAGTTTCTTAAAATGGGGTTAATAACTAGATATCAACATGGACATTCCTTTGTTTATTTAAGTTGGGTGAAGATGAAGCATAAAGACTGCCAGTGAACAAAAGAAACTGACTCAATGATGATATAAGAAGTCATACACAACAAAACACATACAGGATTGGACGACGATCTTTGGTTCAACCCTTGCTCTTCTTTAAGCTTGGTGTGAAGCCAATAAAATCGAAACTCTGTCTAAAAATAAATACAAAAATTAATCAAGAAATAAAGCTCTAAAATTTAAGAGACATTGGAAAATTCAAGTGCAGTTCCTATTGTGTAAGATTGATACTATGATATTAAATAATCATGATTTTTTAAAGCTGTATGGAATACTAAGAATTGCACTAGTACATGTTTTTTCTTAGAGCGCATGCAGTAAAACCATGAAATAAAAACAAAGTTGATACTGACAAATAGTAGCTATTAAGTGACTAATAATTGCTATCACTCAACCAGAGCATTCATTATGCAAAGACAGATACACAAGAGACCATCTGTGTCTTTTGTTTAATAAATGTTCTGGTTGAGTGCTAGCAACTATTAGTCACTAAATAGCTATTATTTGTCAGTATCAACTTTGTTTTTATTTCATGGTTTCACTGCATGTGCTCTACTGTGTTTTCTTACCTCACTGTCATAAACAGGGTGCCCTCGCCAGCACATTATATCCAGAACATAGAAAGTACTGGATACTTCATTAAAAATGCAATCCAAAATTGTGTAATCTAAAATTTCCAAAGGACAGAAGAAAATGACTTTTTGATGCTTTTTGCAAATAGATGATTTTCAAAATACTCAAGCTCTTTTAGAAGGCAGAAAACGAGGTATTTTCGGTCAGCATAGGAAAGCCATAGAGTCGTAGGCAATCTCTAAACCTCTTCAAGAGAACATTTTGTCTGAAGTGAGCTATATCTCTTTAAAAAAAGCTAGAATCCTGCTTCTGAACTGCACGAACCTTGAGGTTTAATTATTCTCTTTTCTGAGAGAAGAGAAGGGAAGGAAAGAAAGAGGAGAAACCAGACAAAAACCCTCAAAGTACAGTTGTTTGCAGCTAACAGACTACCCACGCCCGCAAAACATGTTCTAACTGCGTGTCAAACATTTATGATTGGCCACCAAACATGTGACGTTTGGCACTTTGTTTGGCAACGTTTAAAAAGCAAACTAATGGAAACAGCGATCGAGGAGCGAAAACAAAAAGAAAGAAAAGTCATAAAGAGAGAAGGAGAATTTTTAAACCTGGAGTGAGATGCCCAAGTTTGCTAAAGTTTGAGGCAATTGAAATGGCTGCAAAGCATTCATTTAAAGAAATAAGTAGACAACTGAAAATTTATCCTTCAACTGTTGCAAAGTAAGTGCGATTGTATAAGGAAACTGGAAATGTTGAGCAACCAGTGAGAAATGATCACCAGAGAAGTGCAAGCAAGCTTTCATTCCAAGACTCTTTACTGCTAGAAACAATAGACCTTTCCTGAATTCGCTTGGATGAACACAAAACAACGGTTTGAATTTGAGGCTGAACTTGATTCCTTTATTCATCAAGTCCAACCTTGACTTGAAACCATTGTTTCATCATTAGTCAAGCGAATTCAGGAAAGTTCTATTGTGCAAACTAAAGGATCATCTTCGCTTTAGGAAATCTCAGAGGCGTTAAATATATTTGGTGACTGTGGCGAGGTTTCCAGCGCTACTGTGTCAAGACACGTTCGAAAAAATAACATTGCCTAACAAAGCACCAAACGTCACACATTTGGTGGCCAATCATAAACATTTGACGCACAGTTAGAACATGTTTCGTGGGCGCAGGTAGTTGGTTAGCTGCAAATGACTGTCAGGAGAGAACCATTAAGCAACTCCACTCACATGACACCCACCCTGAGAATCCAGTACTGATTGAGAGAGAGGTAATACATTAGTAGTGCACACCATTCATATTTCATACAGACATAACTGGCACATAATATCATGATATCATAGCTTCCTTGCCTCCAGGCTTTAAAGTATCAGGACTACCCCCAGGGAGACGAGATATAAATTGATTAACTCTGAATCCACTCTTGGTATAGGCTGAAGTATTTCCCTGAAAGAGGAATAAATATTTGTTTAATAACTTACTATTCATGCACAAGTAACCAAAGGAGGCTATCGAAAATGTGTCTTGGAATGACAGTGTGTTTGGAGTGCTCTGGGAAGGAGCAAAKGAGCTTTCACCTTGTAACGGTAATTTCAAAATAAACTCATAGGATAGAAGACTAGCTAATAGTGAAGAATAGCTGGAAAGAGCATGAAGTGTGAAGTTTGAAGGAAATAAGTTTTATAACTCATATGAATTTTAAAACATCAAAAATTTTGAAATAATTTCAAGACATTTCCTGTTTCCAGCAAATGTTTTCTTACAAAATCATAATTTTCAAAAATCATATATTTGCAAGTTTTGAAACTATTTCCTTCAAAACTTCAAAGTTTTACTGATTTTAAACATCTTCTTTCCAGCAATCATGATAATTATTTTCCTGTTTTATTAGTTCAAAGATACCTGGTAAAAACTCATTTGTGCCTAAATTCCCCTCTATTTACAGATAGATTTTAGCTTTTCCCATATTGAATAAATAAAGGGACAATAAATGTAACAATAAGACTTAGTTACTTTTTTTTTTAAAGTAAGTGATTCTTAATTATAAAAAAATCACAAAAACTAGCAAATTTCTACTAACAGCAGATATTATTAGGACATTATTAGATTATTTATTATTTATACATTTCAGTACTCACATTTGAAGCAATTACAAGATTTCTTTTCCCATGTGGACAGACAACCATTAGCCATTCATTGGTCAGATCCTCTGGCACTTCAACCAGCCACTCAGAAAGCATTAACTATCACAAATAATAACAATAATAAATAAATAATAAATTTTATCTGTTAGAGCAGCAGGCTAATTATTCTGGCAGCTTTCGTTGATGTGGGCCTGCTTTCACTCACACTCACTACCACTACATTTACTATTATATGCACACAACCCTCGGCTCACATGTTGATTTTTACAGAGGGAGGAAAACTGGAAAACCCAGAGAAAAACCCTTGTGACACAGGAAAGAACAACACATTAAACAAACTCAATAGGCCCTTTGCAGTTAACGGTCACGTGTCTGTACTGGATTTTTAGCTACTTGTAAAGAACTAAATGAAAACATGTGTATCCAGTGTGTTATGAAATGCAGTTTTATTACAATCTCTCGAAACAGGCTGTAGAAAGTTTGTTTGCAGTCCAGTAAATTTCACCCATGGGAATAAATATGTTCATTCATTTGCTCTCAGTGAATTAATCAGCACGTGATTGCATAGCTGCAAAGGGCCTATTCACATGTGGTGACCACAGGGCTCGAACCAGCATCCCGACCCGTTGGACTCACAGCAGTGAAAAAAAAAAATTAAATAAATAAATAATAAATGGGATCTAGCAGTGGCATCTCTACAGAGTAGCTATTCATCCACTGAAATTCCAATGGGAATTAAGGAGTTGATTTTTGTAGATGACACATTAGCAGCGTACGCAACCCATGCCACCAAATTATTCGTGGTAAAGAAGAATATTTGATATTATTAGCTTTTATCCTTAGTGGATAGGAATCAAAGGTGGCATAGAGGAAGTACAATTGCCTTTCTCTTCTAGGGTCTGAGGAGTGTTTCTGGACTCGGCATTACATGTAAGTAGAGTTTGTTAAGTCTCTCTTTTGATTTGAGGGATGATAACTTTTTCCTGACTCTCTTTTTTCCCTCCCTCCACAAACCTAACAAGATAAATAAATTTCAAATTGATATGTGAATTAGCCATGCCTAATGAACTGATTAATACCCAGCAATAGAGTGTGTGCAACCATGTGACTCGAAATCCCTCGAGATATGAATAACGATGAAACAGCCACCATCCTGGTTGATCTATCAAGAGAAGCTAATGAGGAATGCTTTGTTATCGTCAACCAAGATGGCGGCTATGACATAACATCCCAGGTTGAGCATCTTGATAAGGTCATGGAAGATCTTGCAAGATCATGGAAGATCTGGCAAGATCTTGTATTAAGTTATTCAAGATCTTAGGTATTCAAGATCTTGGCAAGATCTTGGCAAGATCTTGTTAAGATCTTGTCAAGATCCTGATAAGTTCTTGGTATTTCTTAACAGAGGTTTTAAAATCATAAACTCATAAAATCTTGCCAAGATCATGTGATGATCTTAACAAGATCTTAATAAGATCTTTGTCAAGATCTTAGTATGATCTTATCAAGATCTTTCCAATATCTTGTAATTATCTTTGCAAGATCTTGTACAATAGTTTAAAAGATCTTATCAAATTCTTGTCAAGATCTTTACAAGATATTTT